TGGGTGAGGAAGGGACGCTGTGGGCTTTCTGGGGTGGGTCTCAAGGGGACTGATGGGTGAGGAAGGGATACTGCCTCCTCCTCCTCTGATGTATGTAAGTGAGGTGAGGTGAGGGCTGTTGGAGAGTGGCAGCACCACCAGCTCAGGCCGGACCTGAGTCAGCTCCTCCAGACTCACTGGCACGAGGCCACCTGATCCCCCTGTGCTCCCATCTCTGCCCCTCCCAGGTAACACAGCCAAGCCCCCTGAGCACTTCTCTCTCAGCCCACCGCTCACCCACATGCTAGACACCAACACTGTACTAGCCCACAGTAGGGAGAAATTGCATTTGGAGGCCTCAGGGAACAGCCCAGCCCCACAGCTGGTGAGAGGCAGGACCAGGAGGCAGACTCCAGGTGTCTCTCCCCCTAGTCTCATAGTCCCCCTGCTGTATGACAGCTGCCACATCCAACAAGATAAACGTGGCTGCTCTGTGCAGGTCAGGCAGGAGGACAGCGTCATCCCCAGCCTTAATTTAGCAGGGACACACATGTAAACAAGCTGTTCCACCAGGGCACAAACAGAAATACCCACGGCTGGGCAGGTCTGGGCCAGCCCCAGGGGAGAGCCTTTTCCAGAGGTGCCCCCGAGGCTGAGCTGCTGGAGATCTTTAAAAGTGTATTTCTTTGGGTGGTTTGCAGGGTCCACTGTGAAGACCTCTGTCCCCAAAGCCTGCACAAGGCCGTATCTGTTCGTTCCCTCCCTCCCAGCTCGTGGCCTGTATGGAGCAAGGGCTCTGGGGTTCAGCTGGAATATTCTTTACTCCTGAGGGGCAAATTGCACTCCCTCAGCAGCCTGCACTGAGCTCTTGTTTCCAGGCACCACGCCAGGTGCTGGGCTGTGGGGGAGGCAGGAGAACAAGACAGCCTCTGTCTCAGGCTGCGGGAGCCGCACAGCCAGCGCGGGCTCTGCCCCCAGCCCAAGATTGGATCCAACTGGGGAGTCCAGAAGAAGCCTGTCACGTCCACTGGACTACAGAGGAACACCAAGTCCCACACCGGAAATGGAGCAAATATGCCTGTGGCCACAGAGTGGAGAGAACCAAGGCACTCGCGTGTGTGTGCATAAATAATCGTTCACTGACCAGACTCTGCCAGCACAGGGGATGGATCAAACCAGAGTCCCCACCAGCTGATGTTCAGCGGGGGGCGGTCAGCTAACAGCGGCCACAGTGAGCAAACACTGCACCCTGCTGTGGAGAACCACCCCCGAGTCAGGACAGAGTTGTTCATGTAGAGGGGGCCTCAGGGTGGGCCTCACTGGAAGGAGATGTTTGAGACACAATCAAGGAACCGGGTGGTGGCAGATTCTGGGTGGAGTGAAGGACGAGGTACAGAAGGGACCCTTGTTGCATGGAGCTGGGAGAGAAGCCTACCAGGTACCCCCAAGGAGCAGTGTGGACGGGCAAGAAGGCCAAGGGGCCCCTACAGTGAGCGGCAGAGGCAGGAAGGGATAGTGAAGCCCTGGTGAGCTGGGGACAGGTCACTTGGGCCTCACAGGCAGTGTGAGGGTGCTGGCTTTCACTTGCGTACAGAAAAGAGCCTGGAGCCTGGAGCTGTGAAGTAAAGTCCCTGCCTGGGAGAACCGACTGCAGGGAGGAGCAGGGTGGGAGGGAGGCAGCCAGGAACCCCTTACAGAAATGAGCTCCTGACCCCTGCGGCTGAGACCAGGTGTGGGGGGGTGGGGTAGAAGGTTAGAAGGTCATGCTTAAGGGAGAGCTGAAAAAGGGGAGTCAAGGTGCCACGGAAGTTCCTGGCCTGAGTGCATGAGTACAGATGGGCAGGCTGCTGGGGAGAAGGCAGGACTGTGGTTGAGGCGTTTGTGGGACTGCGGCTGACGTGTCTGCGGGACTGGGGCTGAGGTGTCTGCGGGACTGGGGCTGAGGTGTCTGCGGGACTACGGCTGAGGTGTCTGCGGGACTGTGGCTGAGGTGTCTGCGGGACTGTGGCTGACGCGTCTGCAGGCTGCGGAGAGGGCCCTGCAGGGGCTGGATGCACAGCCTGCAGTTGGGGGCGGTGTCTGCCCAGAGCCTGCCAGTCTGTGGCTTTAGCTCAGGGATCACTGTTTGATCCCCATGAGGACACGGGGAGGGGCCACCTGGGACAAGGCATAGACAGAGAAGAGGATGGAGCCCTGCACCCAGGACTCTGACAGCAAGAGACCCACCACCGGGACAGGCACAACACTGGCACCAAGCCTCCCACACACCAAGGGCATCCCACCAAGCAGGTCTTACTTTAAACACCACCTTAAAAAGCTACTCAGGTTTCACTTCTTTTTTTCCTAAGTTCCCTTATTTTTTGGCCCTAAATAGAACAGTCCAACTTATGAAAGTTGATGGACTTACATTTTTTTAAACTACTCTCCCACTGTTCCAGAGCCTGAGTCTGGAGAAGGTGGCATCTGGGTGGCTGCCCATCTCCATGGTGCTTACCTGAGAGTGGCCTCAGGATTGTCTGGGTCAAAGGACTGGGTACCCCGGAGGACAATGAGGGGTGAGGCAGTCCTAGGTACAAACAGGTGTGTGCCTTCGGAGATCACGCTGACTGGGGCCTGGGCCTGCACCTCCAGGCCCACGGAGTAGTTGCTATGGACCACGCTGCCTTCAATCTGCACCTGCAGGGCCGAGGGTAGGAAGCATCACTCAGGGACACGGCGGGATGCACTGGAGCCACTCGGGCATCTCAAAACTAGAAGGGAAACTGGTGTGTCCAAATGCAGCCTCCACTCCAACTAAACCAATCGTGCTTGTCAAAATAACCACCCTACTCTGCACCATCGCAGATGGGGCTGGAGTCCAGGGTAGGGTGAAAAGTTTGCTATCTGAGTCTGTTAATGCACAAAGTGGGGACTTTCCTGGTTTGTGAGCACAAAATGAGACCTTCCGGGCAGTTCTCAAACCTCCTCTGTCGACAGTGCCTTGCTCCCCGGCTTGACTTTTATCTGGCTTCCTTTATGTTTCTTTAAGCTGCTTCTTTATTGTCCCTGAACATATTAATGGACTTTACAAAATGTAAATGAAATTTAAGACAGATATTTTAAAATCCAGGAATAGTAAAATATTTTATAAATAAGGCATTAAAGATGTTCTTTCAAAGTGCAATGCAGTTTGGAAGAAACACAGCCCAGCACTTGTTCTCTCCTTAGGTCTCAGCCTCAGTCATTCTGAATCTCCTTTGCACAGACGCACGAGGTTCCCTGCTGTTCAATCTCCTGTGTGGAACCAGACACATAAACGACCCGGCATCCAAACTCCCTCTTACACCCCCACTGTCTGCTCCCTAAGCCGCTCCAGTTCCAGGGCACCATGGAGAACGTCCCAGCCCCAGTGTATGAATCTATAAAGGTCGGAGGTAGCACCAGGTGGGGAGCTGCCGCACAGAGTGTGGGGACAGTCACCACTGCCACCTCCTGGTTCAGCTTCTGTTTCTTGACTTCACTATCAGAATAATCAGAATAATATCCAACGTCCCACCTCCAATCTGCTCCCAACTCATTCCCAATTAATATTTCTAAAGGGAAGAACTCATCATGCTGGGAAACCTTTACTTTTTCCTACCACCTATGGCTACAGCAGGGCTCCTCAAAGCCTAGCCTCAGCCCTCTGTCACTCAGCTGGTTGTGACAGGTCTAGTTCACAGTGAGATAAGCATGGAAACTGTAAGAAGTGTCTGGAAACACAGTTCAGAGCTTGCCATTACTGTAACATTACAGTGCAGATTCGGTGGACTCGCCTCCTTGAGCAGGGTCAAGGCCAATGTGGATGCTGGTGAACCCCTGTGGTGAGCCATGCCAGGAGAGAGCTGGGATGGATGCTCAGCAGGACCGCTTGTCCCACCGATCAAAAGAGCCAAGTTCCTTCACTGAGATATCCTGGGGGCCTAATCTGGCTGCCTTTCCTGGCCTTCCCCACCCTCACCATCTGCTCCCAGCTCTGTCCTACCATGGTCTGCCCATTAATCCTGTCTCTTTCCCACCTTTGCCAAGCTGTTGACCCCATGCCCCTTTCCACACCTGTGAACAGACTCTGTTTTCAGGACCTCTCTTTCATGAAGCCCACTCTTGTGGAAGTGACCTCTCCCTCATCTGACCCACGCATTTTCACCATTTTTCCAGCCAAAAATTAGAGGGCCTGCTGAGAGTCCAAGTGCTGGGCAGTCACGGTGGATACCTCTCCCCTGGCCTGCCCTCTGTCTGCTGCCCCCATCTTGTCTGGGCGCTGAGCTCTGAAATTGCTGAGGCGTGCATTTTCCTAACAGCCAGCACTACCTCGGGGCTTGTTCAAACAGGTGCACTGGGAGATTTTGCTAAACAAATTGGAAGATTTCATCCATGACTTTGCCAGTATTTGAATGTAATTTGTTCTCTTGGGGGAATTGTCTTAAAATCCTATCTACACTTTTTCTTAATGTTTTTCCTTTGGACAGAACAGATATAGAGGTATAAATGCTGAGCTCTGTGCCACATGGGTGGAAAGCACTGGTTTTGCAGGGCTGCTAGAGTAGTGAGGCAGTGAGCCGACCTTGGCAAGGGCGGTGTAGTTCCCAGACTCCAGTGTGTAGCTCGGAATGACGAGGGTCTGTCTGTGAGTGTTGACAGCAGCAAGGAGGGGGACAGGGGACCCCTCGGAGTCTGTCAAGCTCCAGGTGTAAGAAAGGCCTTGGGAAATGTCACAGAGGACGGCAGCTTCAAATGTCACTCCCAGCCTCACAGCCTGAGACCTCCATACCTAAGCATTGAAAAGAAAAGATATCTCATTAAATGTCCCTCTTGTCTAATGCAATGGTAAATTACTAAAACTTCCTCTCACATAATCATAATTATTTGTTCACATAATCATAGAATAAGGGGATTCCTAGGGTGTGACTTTAGATAACACCAGAATAAACACTACATCTGTTTTATAGACAAAAGTAAAAAATTTTTTTAAAAAAGAAAAATAAGTAAACATTTATACTTATATACTCATAATGAGGAAAAATTTTCTATGCATAAGAGTAATAGAAAGAAAGTAATGTAAAAATGTCAAAGAAAAATTGGTAATTTGTTTACATAAAAATTTTAAACTTCTAAATGTCAAAAATACAAATTGTAAAATTAATCAATATGTAAAAACTAAGTTATTTATAATATAGTTGACAGATATTTGCTTTCTATATTTTTTCTTTGCCAAAATTTTCTAAAGTTACTCTCAGAAATTATGATATTTAATTCTTAAATACTAAATTTAAATACTAAATCTTTAAAAACTAAGAGCATTTTCTTACATAAATATAACCTAATACAATATGATTTCACCTTAAAAATTAATATTGATTTCTTAATATAATCTAAGCTTACCTCATAATCTAATTTCTCTATTGTCTCCAAAACATATCTTTATGAAATTGTTTGACTGGGACTGCACAAAAATCTTTTTGTTTAAAAAAAGGAATGAGAAGGACAGTTTTTCTAATTATCTAGGACCTTAAGGATTTCCAAACTCAGTTTGTTTAGGAAATTCACAAGAATATTCTTTCCCAGCTGGGTGCCCATGCTCAGTGGTTAGGGTACCAGCCACATGCCCTGGGGTTGGTGGGTTCAAACCCGGCCAGGGCCTGCTAAACAAAAAAACAAAAAAATAGCCAGGTGTTGTGGTGGGCGCTTATAGTCCCAGCTACTAGGGAGACTGAGGCAAGAGAATCACTAGAGCCCAGGAGTTTGAGGTGGCTGTGAGCTATGACGCAGCATAGGGTGACAAAATGAGACTCTGTCTCAATAAAAAAAAAAAAGAAAGAAAGAAAGAAAAAAAGAATATTCTTTCCCTCAGTTACCAACTTCAGAATAAGAAGTTGGAGCACCAAGAAGCTACTTCCAGTGGCAACCAGCGTGTTGTGTGTCTATTTTGTGAGAACAACATAAGCTTCTCTCCTTTGGCATAGTTGATGTTTAAAAATATTAATATTATTCATTCCATTGTAGACATCATTTTTTTAGATGTTCAAAGTGGCCCATTGAGGCCTGGGGTATCTCTTGTCTTGGCTCTAGTTGCTTCTGATTTGACTCTGTTTGTCTTTGAAAGTGATGGGTTGGTGGTACTAGCTTTCTACTTTTTATTTATACTTTTAACATAAGCAGCAGTATAAACATATGAAAATGTATCTGCTAACATTAATAAGCTAAAAAGGACAATGCTAGTTCCTGCCCACCTACAATCCTGTCCCTCCCCTGCCAGCCACTCTGTCTTTCCCAAGCCCCTTTCCTGTCCCCCCGGCCTGACGTCCCTGGTGTCAGGTCCCTCTGTGAGCTTGGGGGAGCAGGCCAGCCTGTGACCTCAGGTCCCAGTCTCCACCTGGCCAGGGCGCCTCCACCCAGGGCGCCTCCTCCCAGGGCTGATGCTGGCGTAAGGGCTCCCCCTGGAGGCCATTCACCCTGAAGTTTCCATAAAAACCAGTAAGAAAAAAAACCTGGAAGGACCTGAGAAATGGGATTTGAAGATATCTTGGTGCTCATTATAAATGGAATTTTCTTTTTTACCTTTGGCATTCTTTAAATGACTCTAGTCATAATATAAATTAGTTTAAATTTGTTTGTATTGCTTTTACTCTAAATAAGATATCATTCTAGGATTTGCCACAAAACTGCCCAGATTTATATGGACTACAGCAAATTTTAATAGTGAGATGCTAATTTTTAGCCCATTTATCCTAACAGACATTTAAAAATGCAAAATGCACAGTGTGGGTGAGAGGTGATTCTTTGACCCTGATGCATGTGAGCCTCCACAAGGGGGACGTTGCTACACTTATCGGGGTCCTGGGAAAACTCGCAGGAATTATTCCTTGGCAAAGCCACAGATGTGCAGAATGGCATGCGTACACATTCCCACGGCCAAGTTATCTGGAGTGATAGAAAGTTGGATTCAACAAGCATTCAAGCATGAGGACATTGTTAAATGACGAATAATTTGTACCTATGACTTAACATTTTCCCACCTTTAAAATCATGCAACCAAGACTTTGTTGCGAGAAAATGGTCACACTGTAACCCACAAATGGTCACACTGTAACCCCTCACAAACTGGTGAGCATGCACACACAAACCCTACACATAAAAAGCCTTAGAAAAATACTGAAAGTAAATATGTGGAATGGCTCATAGTGATCTGTGGCTGGTGAGATTTGAGGTGATTCCATTTTTTTCTTCATACTTTTAGAAAATATGTAAAATAAAGTGTAACGAAAAAATGAAATTATCAATATTCTATGGTTTACAGATGAGAAAATGGGAAAACTTTATGAATTGAAAAATCTCCAAAAAAAAAGATCTTATCCCCTGGCTGACAGTAGCAGCAGACTGGTGTGGGTGGGGCCTCCTACCCTGCCCCATGCTCTTCCCAGACTCAGCCTTCTGCTTTGCTATCCTCAGTGTTTTGATCTGTCTCCCAACATGAGCGGCCCACAGCGTAGGTGACACTGGCCTAAAGCAGGCGGGGTCTTGCCTGCGAGGCAGCCGGGCACTTGGCCAATGCTGGCTGATCTTCACTGCCGCTGTCTGGAAGTGCCCGGACCTGGGACTCAAAGGGACTCTCGGGGCTTGGATGCCACAGAAATGCCTTTTGGCAAAGGCAGTTCAGTTATGGATTTTAATTCCTATATGTCACTTAAGCACCTTTGCCCTGAAAAGGAAAATTTATTCCAAACCAAAACCCTCAAAGCAATGAAAGAAAGAGAACCACCCTATTTGATTTTGGTGTCACATATATTCAAATTTTGCTTTCTCCTGAATATGCTACAGTTCTTAGCTTAATTTAAAAAAAAACAAAACTCTTCAAAGTGAGCTGAGCTGAATGCCAGAGTAATACAGAGCAATATAACAGAAACAAGGCTGTCCCCTCCCATCTAGGCTGGGCTAGGCCCTTCCCCACCACGGAATGGGCTGCCTGCTCCGAAGCTCTCACAGGTGCTCCTTTGTGTAAACTGAGCCAGACAAAGCCGCCCTTCACTCCTCAAAGCTCACACCATTCCAAGCAGTGGTCCCAACTCAGAGGTGAAGCTGAAAACAAGGCTGGCCAAGGATCTCCCAGGCCCCAGCCCTACCTGGACCTTCCCAGGCCCCATGTTCTTCACCAGGGGAGGCTGGCAGGGTTTGCTCACGATGAAAAGTTGCTTCCGTAGGGTGGTGGCGCTGATGTCATTGAAGGCACGGACCTCCACAGCAAACTGGCCTTCCCTGCGAGAGCAGAACGCACAGACAGAGGGATGGATGTGCTGCAGCTGGGCTTTCCTTCACCCTCACAGCCAGCCCACAACTGCAGAATTACAGTATTTGATGGCAAGCCAACACGACAATAAGAACAGGAGAGGAAGAATCACGAGGCAGGTTTCCGCAGAGGTTATTCAAATGAACCAGACCAGCTGTCTACCCAGCTTGGGTGGGGCCAGGTACCAAACTCCCAGCTACAAACACAATACATCTCCGTGAGGGCACGTTCTCTCTCTGGGCAACCCTCCTGGCTTGGTCCCAACCATGGCTTGGTCCTCTGTTGACCACAGGGGTGATCCAGGGGTTTCCCTGTGTGATGGGCACCCTAACCCATTAACTGGGAGTTTCTGGGCTTGATTGTCCTGTTCTAGTCCCTGCTCCATGAATCCGTTTTCCTAATCAATTTCTTAGGGTCCTGCAAACTCAGGATAGACCCACAACCTGGATGTGAGTCCTGCCCGTGGGGGAGGGCAGAGGGTCCCAGCTGTGGAGACAGTCATGATGGGGTGGGGGAGTATTAAGCAGGGCAGTTCCTGACCCAGCAAGTGCTGCTTTATTAAGGAAACACATGTTTATTCTACAAATGTTTCACAGTAAATAATCATTTAAGACTCTTTTTTCTTTTTGAGGCAGAGTCTCACTCTCACCCTGGGTAGAGTGCTGTGAGCGATGATGCCACAGCAACCTCCAACTCTTGGGCTTGAGTGATCCTCTTGCCTCAGCCTCTGGAGTAGCTGGGACTATAGATGCCCACCCCTATGTCTGGATTGTTTTATTTGTTTGTTTGTTTGTTTGTTTTCAGTAGAGACAGGGTCTCACTCTTGCTCAGGTTGGTCTCTAACACCTGAGCTCAGTGATCCACCTGCCTTGGCCTCCCAGAGTGCTAGGATTACAAGCATGAGCCACATTTAAGACTTTTGACTTGAAACAGAAAAAAAAAAAAAAAAAAAAAAACTGCTTCAGAAGACCACAAAATTTCAGTTTGCAAGGACCAGAATAGCACTTGCCATCCTCAGCTCCAGTAAGAAAGGCAGGGCCTACTGACTGGAATGAAGGCAGCATGGCAGTCTCGGGCTGCCACAGAGCCCAGCACACACTCTACACAGACTCACAGAGATGCTGAACCAGCCAGCCATTGGTTTGGCTCCAGGGCAGCAAGGGCTCCTGGAGCTATAGAGCACATCATTTTGCTACCGCTCAAATCTTTCCCCACATGAAAGTCTGTTGATGGAGAAGTCCTGAATCCATGAGGGGGCCACTCAGGAGTCCCAGCAAAACGTGGAGAGTCTGGCCATGGACACCCATGGTTGCCCAGCATTGCAGGAAGTCTGCAACCTTTCCTGATGCCGCTAGTTTGTTTTCTAGAAAATTCTGCACATTTTGATATTTTCCTACACCAACGTAAAGGCTTGATGCCAGCCTGAGGCCCAGCCATGGCCATGTCTGTCTCCCCACAGCCGTGGGGACTGGAATCCTGCAGCAAGATCTCCACCTACTCAGATCCTAGAATCCGCAGTTGACCAGAGGCTTGGCTGGGAATTAGTGGCCCTGCTAGTCTAGTTTCCACTTTCTCATGTATATCTCTGTAATGTTCTGTCCTGGGCAGATAGCAGGTGCTGTGGAATTAAAGGTCACTCTCTTCAGGGTGACAGTGAGGCCCTGGACTACCTGCCCCCCACCCACATCCTGCTGTCCTGGGCACATTTCCCTGGTCACTCCAAACTTCTCCCCTTGCTATCCCCTCTCATAGCTTCACCCAGGGCCACTGTTTGAAACCCCCTTACCACTTCCCCTTTGGCAAACTCCTCAAGATTTCACCTTCAGCTCATCTGCTAAGGCCACTGTGTGTTCTCTAGTTTCCAAAGAGCGAGCTGTCCCCACCACACCACAGCTTCCTGGGGAGCACAAAGGCCCCTGTACTGAAAGTATCTCTGGCTTGTCTGTCTCCTTAACAAACACAGCCAGGCCTCATTTGTCTCTGTGTATCCATCACCTACTCTCCCTGAAGGGTGGGTCTGCTGTGGGGAACCCCAGGGCTGACCCTGAGATGCCACTCCCCTGCCTGCCCACAGTGGCTCACCTGCTGTACACATGACTGCTGGTGCTGCTCCCCAGGGTGACAGTGCCATCCCCAAAGTCCCACAGGTAGGCAACATCTGTGCCAAAGTTGATCCTGCACTCAAAGGCCACCGTGGCGTTTACCAGAGCTGAGGCAGGGGACACGAGCCGATTGGCCACAATAGTCTTCTGTACCCTGATGAGGTGGGGCTCAGAGACCACACTGCTGACCCTGTCAGATGCCTTGACCGTCACAAGATACCTATAGGATGGGGCCAGGAGGACAGGAGAGGCAGAGGTGAGATAAGAACAGGGTCAGGGCTGGAGAGAACTCCCACATCAGCACAAGAGAAAGGCAGAGTTTAATTTGTAAGAATTGTCCTTGTACACAGTGATTTCAATCTGAGTGGTGAGGAGGAGAAGCAATCTTTCTGGCCACCCCCTCTTCATTATTGAATTCACTTCTTAGGGCAGTGAGGGTAAGCATTGCTCTGCTTACTTGGACAAGGCTTTCTGGTCACATGGGTGGCTGGGATGGGATTTGAACCTAGGACTGTCTGATTTCCAAGCCCTACACCTTTTTACTTAGTTCAAGCTGAAGGGAAGCAAGTGTGTTTGATTTCAATTCACAGAAGGACTCAGTGGCTTATTATAATACAAATGTAACACCCTCAATATCATCTTAACAGTAACATGGTAATATTCAGATTGAATTTAGGCTGCATTATACACAGCTGCCCGTGATGACCATTTTTACCAACCATTGGGGGACGCTGAATCTTTTTTTAATGCTTCTTGAAGTTGTCCTCACTGGTGGGTCCTCCCCAAAATACCATGCAAACTCCAGGGGTGTCATTGCCTTGGTAACAGCTGCAAACACAATGTCCGTGTCTGCGGCAAACACAGTTCCGTTTGTGTAGACAGAGACAGCTGTGGCAAAAGAAAGAGAGGTGTGGCCACATCAGCACGGCAGGGCTGTGATCCACTTGGAGAGATCAGTGCCTCCACCTGCCCCCTCTGCCATGGACTCGAGTAACGTCGGCAGCCTCCAGACAGGAAGGCGGGACAGTGCCTGACACAGCAGCAGGGACCAGGTAGGCAGTGCTGGCCCAAGCTCATAGGCCGTTGAGGTCATAGTGCAAAAGGTGAAAAGGTCAACTCCTTTTGGAATTTTGCTCAAAGGGGGACGGTATGTGGGGCTGTCAGATGACTGTCTGTGATAACCCACCTTCTCATTCCTTTAGATGGGAGCCTTGATGCCTATGGTTTCTAGAAAAGTCCTAGAACAAATTCCAGATGAAAAAAGACCCTTTTCAAGAGCAAGTGGACATCTCAGGCCAAGCTGAGGTTCGGACCCTGTGCTGTCCATGACTCTCCTTGTCTCACCTGACCTTTAAAGGGAGCTTTTACTAAATCTGGAATTAAACAAAAACATGCATTGGATCTTATACCCAACAGTTATGCTGAGCCAGCCCTGGTTGCCGTCCACTAGGGTATGATAAATAAAAGACACATCACATGAAGAAGTGGATGAGAAATGATAGATAACAACGGTGCCTAAAATGAGAGGGAAAAAAAGAAGCTATGAAAGAAACAGGCTTAAAATTAATTTGTTTGTCTCATGCAACACACGTCAGCATTCTTCATTTTTAACTTTGCGTCTTTGAATTCCAATAAATTTCAAAATTCTAAGCATCTGCTCTAAAATCAAACAGGTCTGGGAAGCAAAAACTTTGTCAAGAATTTCTCTCATTAAAATTTTCTTGAAATATTTTCTCCGTGTCTCCTAAGAACTCCCTATATAGCAGTAAATAGAGAAATTCATTTGAAATAGGTTAATTACTTTGGTAGATGGCCTTGTTTTGAAAGTATTCCTCCACTGTGCATATCAAATAGTCTTACTTCACAGAGGTTCTTAAATGGGGGTCCAAAAATAAGCCTTTACCCATTTAAGTCCTATAAAATGTAAGATTTTGCATGCATATATGCCATGTATATATACATGCACATGACACGCCACACACACTACACACAGATACCCCCCACACACACCTGCCTCACACCACACATACACACCGCACACACGTCATGTATTAGGAGGCAGATGTCAAACACGGCATCAGATTCTGGAAGAGGACTGTGAGATCTAAGAATATTTGGAACAACTCACTCACCACACAGAAATATTAAGAAGAGAGGATGGATAATTTATTATTATTGCTGTTCTCCTGCTTAGTTTTTCTTTTATAAAGCTTGTTTATAACAGAGATAAAATAACAGTGGATATTTTTTCTTTCATCATTGCATTAGGATTTTTGAAATATAAATATCACACGAATAAGAGTGACATGGTCTCATTAACCATGCCTGAAAATTAATTCTGAGCACCATGTAGTAGGCAAAAAGTGCGAGGGAAGTCCAATCTGAAGATGTGCACAAGACTACCCAGCTTCCAACCTGCTGGGGCTGGATCAAAACCCAGAGTTGCTAACTCTGAATCCTGGCATAGCCAGCAGGGCTTTCCGAGGACCATGCTCTCACACTGGCCACACGAGCTGCTCATGAGTGCAGGTTTGGTTAAGACAAGTCAGTATGAAGACCCACCAGTCAGTTAGGGAGTGTGGACAGGTTGGAGAAAGCCTCCCCTATGTATTCTATGATTCTCAGGTGGAGAGGCTCTCCCAGGCTGAGAGTGTAGAAAATGCCCTCTGTGTGAAACAGAAAGGCTTCTTACAGAAAGGAGTTGGCAGAGTGCAGCCCTCACTGGAGTCCCCTTTTTCCTATTTCTGGGAAATATGACCACCTATTCCTTCCCTGTAGCTGGCACCTTGGGGTTTATACAGGGGGGCTCCCTACCTGCGCTGTTGTGATGGGCTGGGACTCCTCCCTCCATGGTAGGTGACGAGTTTGCCCATCCCCCCCGCTCCTGAGCCTCCGGTCCCTCCTCTGTAGAACTAACAGGTAGCTGTGAGGATGAAGTGAGGTGCCACAAAGAGGCACCAGCAGAGCTCCTGGCACACGTGGGTAAGCGCCTGAACCTGCTCTGGCTCTGTGCCCTGCCTCAGGGCCCTGCCACTGCCCCAAACGCCTGGTGCTGCAAGCCTCACGCCAGCTCCTGGCTGCTAGGCCTGCCCCCCTGTTAGCATAATCCATCTCCTAAAATCTCACTGCCTCGGCCAGACCGCTCCTGAGGCACTTTGATGTCTTATCTGATCTTTTTCCCACACATGTCTTCGTGCCTTTACTAAATAACATTCCCTGACACCAGGGCCTTGTATGATTTCATCGTTTTGCCCCCCCCCCCCCAGAGCACAGTAGTCTGCAAGAAATATTTTCTAAATGAGAAAAGAATGACAGATGTTCCATCAAATTTAGAATTGCTATAATTAGAAATGTCATAGTTTCTTTTTAAAAGACAGACTCTTAGTCATTGCCCTCAGTATGGTGTCATGGTATCATAGCTTACAGAAACCTCAAACCCCTAAATTCAAGCCATCCTCCTGCCTCAGCCTCCCAAGTAGCTGGGACTACAGATGCCCGCCACAAGCCCAGGTAAATTTTTCTCATTTTGGTAGAGACAGGGTCACTCTTGCTCAGGCTGGTCTTGACCTCCTGACCTCAAGGAGTCCTCCCTCCTTGGCCTCCCAGAGTGCTAGGATTACAGGAGTGAACCACTGCACTCAGCCTTGAATGGTATAATTAAAGCAGAGAGAATCCTACTTTACTTATAGCTGAGTCTGCTGCTCAGTCTCCAGATTGAGGTCTTAGTTTTCTGATTCATGTGCGAGCCAGCAAAGACAAGAACTTGTCCTCATTGACACTACTAGAATTTGTGAACATTGATATGGCCCCAAGGCCAATTTCTACATAATAAGGCCCAAGTTCTACCCCAGTCGCAGAAAACTCAGAATAAATAACAGCCTTGAGCATATAGACACCTTCTGGAAAAAGAAAAGAGACTGGACATTTGAGGAATTCTTAAAAGCAGGCAAAATAGCATTTGTAAAATGATCATAGCAGGGAGGCTAAAATGGGAACCAATACCGTAGTGGTGATTCTCCTTATCTCCCCTGGCAGCACGGCCCCTTCCTGGGCTTGTGACCCGTACAGTGGCACAGAGCTGCACACTCCAC